CTATAACCATAGATATCTACCAATGCTCTAAATTTGCAGTTAATGGTGAAATCGTTCTCCATGTTCATCAGTTCGGCAAATTTATCAGGATGAAAAAAAGAAAATGTATGCATTTTTAAATGCTTGATTTTTCATTAAACGTCGTATAAGGTCCATTTAATATTCCTGCAAAATTAAAGTAGTAAATATATCTCATATAATTTTGTAATGAAATATTGCATTGGTTTTTCTTGGGCGTAAAGGTACAGCAACAAAAACAAAACAAATTTACAACAACATTAAGGTTCGTCCCCTTTCTCTTTCTCTGATACTATCATTACAACTTCAATTTCCTGCTCTTTTTTCATTTTTGGTTCTTAAAATCACTTTCAAGTAAAAATACAATTTAAATTTTAAATGTCAAAAATTAATAGATGCACTTTAATGTGCTTGAACGATAATGTAGATAAAGGCGCCTTTATACTTCAATTCGATATTAAATTTTGATAAGACTCAATAAATAAGATTGGAGATTGAAGTTTTGGGTACTTTAGGCATAATGTGAATAAAAAAATATCAAATAATAGTCGAAGAGTAATGTTTGTTATACCGAAACACATTTACTTTGTTGCCTTTTCAATTTAATTAATTAACAAAAATTTCAAAAATTGATACTTTTTAACCAAAAAAACATTATAATTTTAGTTTTGGTATTTAATACTACTATAGTATACGGCTACAATGAAACAAAAATATTTGACATTTACCGATTACTTTGTATGGAGTCCCTAAACGTTAAAAATATACTGAACATCCAAAATAGGCAAAATAATTTAATAAATAATCAAAATATTAACGAAAAACTTACATTTTGAGATAATTGGGCAGAGCATTTTATTACGCGATTATTTCGTCCTGGAGCAAAACGAGTGGCATTTTTGAAATCAGCAGCCCAAAATTAGGTAATATAGGTGGGCGTACTCAATGTTAGTAATTCGAACTATCATAGTGTTATAAATAAAAAGATAATTATGCCAAAAATAATAGCAACGAATTCGAATGTAAAAGCCCTTTTGAGGGCAAAACTTCATTTTGATGAAATTATGCCAAATGCCACACAGTGGCGGCTCGTGCCTTCCGCGCTGGGGTAGGCGACGGCCAACAAAACAAACTCTGTTTAAAAAAAACTACCACATAACCATCGATGATTCTCATACCATTGCTTTTTAAACGATCGAGAAAAAGTTGAACCATGTTTTTTATCAGGTTTTAAAAGATTTAGATGTGGAATAGGGCGATCATTAATCATAACATCTTTTCGATCGTTTTCATTAAGGCGAGAAAATGGATTTTCAAGTAATGAGCAAATAATGTCATGAAATGGGCCCTCCATTATTGCAAAATAATACCCTTGTTTATTAAACAAGGCTAATAATCAACGCTAATACTACCTAATTCTAATACAAACTAATACTAGCTAATTCTAATACTACCTAATTCTAATACTAACAAATAATAATAAATAATGATACAGTAATACTTAGCGGGTAATTAATTTCCTGACACAGTCACAAAAATAAAGTGAATTTGGCTTAAAACAATAATTATAATTGTTTAACTCAAAAACATTTAATTGACGGAACTAAAATGTAAAAGAAATCTGCTTAAAAACCCTTTATCGTTCGAATTTATCTCAACAGATGTCACTATTTTAAATTAATTATTTATTATATTAATATATTCTTGCAAATAATGTTATTTACAGGACTTTTAATATTAAATTCATATTATATTTTGAACCTCTTGCATTGAGATCGATCAATTTATCGATTACCGGCTTAAAAAAATAACTTACAAGTCGGAAGCCGAATCGGCTTTCGGATTAGCCGAAGGCGAACAATCGTGTCGCCTTAGACTCGCCTACACATCGCAATTTTACCATACGTCAACGGCGTTTCTATTGGTCAGCGGTATAGCGTTCTTCACTTGGTTGACGTGCAAGAATCAAATAAATAGGCGCTTGGGATAGCCGCCTTTGCATGCTTTAGATGCTGATTTAGAGCATAGAAAAATGTGTGAACTAGCTACTTTCGTCATGACGCATCACGTAACAATTCAATAAAAGGTTTTATTTGCGATAAATAAGATTTATGAATGCAATAAAAATAATTTAATTAAATTTGGTAATTTTATTAATGTTAAATTACTTATATTTATTATTTTACATCCATATTTCCAGGGTAGGCGGCGCCTACCTTGCCTACCCCGACGAGCCGCCACTGATGCCACAATGGAAGAAAAAGTACATCGCCTTATGGACATTTTTGGAGTAAAAAAGTAACGAATTTGGTTTTATAAATATTACATCACACATTAGTTTCAGCTAAGCAGATCAAAAATTTTTGAGATAGTTAAAAATAAGGGGGAAAATAAAATGCAAAAAGTAGGGAGAAAAAATAAAGGAATTTGGTTCGACAATTTTTTTTACGGGAGGAAATTTCTCGGCATATTTTTAAGTTGTTAAAGAATGGGACACATTTTACTTTGGATGATCTTTTAGTTTATGAGCGGAACGAAATTGAATTTACAGGGTCTAGGTCACTATTGTACAAAATTTTACGGGATGTGGGCAAAAATACACCCCATAGATTGGAAACTCTCCCACCACTGCCCTCTAGAGCTACAATACCTGAACTATATCTATTTGTAAATTGCAGACATCTGTACCAACGCTATTTGCAAATGTCAATGTCAATCATAATTTTTAAATTATTAAATACATTTTTGCACCTTAAAAGTGATAAAACGTGTTAATGGTTGTGAAATGTATTGTTGTTGGGTGCGGAAATGTAACCAATTTGTAAGTATTGACTATCCTGCCGTCCTAAGCCAAAAAGACCCATCTCGTTATTATTAAATTATTCTATTAGCAAAAAAGACGCATTTTAACTATACATTCATTTTTAAGTACTATATCTCCTAAAAATTTCTAATTAAATTGAACGTATCTTATGAAAAAAAAATAAAGCGCTATAATTAATAAAGTAAAAATGTGGAGTTGCGTCTTTTTGGCTAAGCACGGCAGTATCGCTCTAGCGTAAAAATACTGTTTGTTAATTATAAAATATTTAGGACTGCTTGTTTAATGGTAATTTAGTCCAGGCCAAGCCCAGGCTACTTATGGTTGTTTCAAAACCAAGAGCTGGAAAGATGGATTTTTCGTGGTTGGTTAGAACTTGCCAAAAGCCCACACAAAAGCCTTGTACAAATTCCTATATGTATATGTATAGTAGCCTGGACTAAATTACGAAATTTTGCAATATTCCCTTATTATTGAAGAATTACGACTAATATTTTTTAGGTTTGCACTACTCGGATTTGTCATACCAAAAAGATAAATTAATGTCGTCCATATAAATATGGTCTAAAATGTTTAACTGCCCATACGATAGCTAAAAGTTCTTTTTCAATTTTACTATAATTTTTTTCTGCTTTATTCTCTGAGAGGGAAATTTACTCGGCAAAAATACAATTTTTAAAATTCTTTAAAAACGCATTTTGATTCCTCTTTATTGTTCGTGACAGATTATTACCTAAGATTTTAAACTGCGAAGTCGAATTTACTGCGTATGCGTTGCGTTATAACAAATCCATGAAAGAATTGTCAAAAATACTCTTACTTTCAGAATCTTGTCTTTTTCGTGTAAAAAAGGTGTTGCGTAAATATAATAGGGAAAATTAGAGTCAAAAATTTATAGTAGGGATAAAGTTAATAAGTACAAATTTGTATTTATACAACTTTAAAATGTCTTTTTTGGATTTTCGTCAAAAATATAGCGTTTTTTAACCTACAAATTTTCAAGTTTTGTAATTACAAATAATAAATGGAATGTAAGTAAAAATTTATAATTACTTGCCCAGAATCACATAGTGCATTCGAAAATATGAACCTTCAGCTCCGACTTTACAAAAATTCTTCTGCCTTTATGCGCCTATAAGAGAGTTATGCAAAAATGAAAAATGGCCTACAAATTACCGCTAACCTGGTCATAAAAGTAATATATTTTTTAAATTTGACAATAATTATTGCATTTAAGAATGGTAATACAATTTTCTTTACTCCTATTACATAATATTATTTTTTTAATATACTTTGTATATTATACAGTGTGCCCACGGATCGTATTGACAATAGAAAAAAACTTTTTTATTAAGTATGATACGAAAAAAAACATGTTTTTTAAAAACTCTTGCTTGTTTCAAAAATAAGATTCCTACACAAACATTTTGAATTAAATGTGCTCAGAAACTGAAAAAACCCAAAAAACTAGAAGTGCGTTTTATGGAAAAATGAATTCTTTTTGAAAATATTTGATGGTTAAAAATTAGCGTGTGAGGAACTGGTTAAATAATAATTTCCCAAACAGGTGGATAGGTCGAGGTGGCCCAGTAAACTGGCCAGCTCGATCGCCTGATCTTAATCCTTTGGATTATTATCTTTGGTAAATAGCCCAGACCTTCTAAGAAGGATTAATGCTGCTGGAAATCAAATTAAATAAAACCGGTTAGAAACTCTTCGATCGACCCAAAATATCAAAAAAGGTCCAGAATGTGCATTCAACAAAATGGAAATTTGTTTGAACAATTATTAAATTAAATCAGCTAGATCCCTTTTGGAAAATCGCTTCATAATAAAAAAATAACGAACATCAAGCCAGAAAATGTTAACTAAACTATTACAATAAATGTACAGCCAGCAAATAACCCAAACCTCACTTTTGTACAAAGCCTACTTCAAAGTTTTAAAATTGGTGTATTTAATCAACGAAAAATACGTTATACTAACAAATCCTCTGTCTAATCAACCTTTCTTAAACGAAATAGCAGCTGTATTAAGATACTGCCGGTAAGTGCAAAATTTACAAAAATTTCAACATGGAAACCGATCTGGAGAAAAAACCCAGGAAAAAAAATTCACCTTGAAATACAAACCCAATAACTTTGGACCATTCGAGGTCTGCATGGAAGCAAAAAACCAGAACATCGGAAAATATAATCACCTAGCGCTGGCAAGGGATATATATAACCTCAAAATAGATAATGTTAAGAAAATTACTGCCCAGGGGAAAAAAGAGTAAGTATAATTTTTAATAATTATGATGCGGCAAACAAATTTGTTGACAATCAAACACTAAAAGAAAGAGATTACAATTTATACATTCCCTACAATAGGGTTTCGTGCAAGGGAGTAGCACTACGCATAGATCTAAACATTCCAATTACAGAAATTAGTATTGCCATATCATCCCCAATCAAAATCCTAGAAATGAAAAGACTCAATAAAAAAATCATAAACAAAGACGAAACAGGTAAAACAACAATTAATTATGTTCCTTCAGAAACTCTGCTAATAATGTTTGAAGGAACAAACCTACCGATATCAATTAACATCTTTGGTCTCCCAATAAAAATTAACCCATATATACTCTCAGTTACACAATGCTTTAAATGTCTACTATACGGTAATACTCAAAAAAATTGTAAAGGTAAAAAAATGTCCAAATTGTACCGAAATACATAATAATGATGCACCATGCAATATTATTGTATTTTATCACTGTAAAAATTTACATAAATCAACAAATAGAAACTGTTCTGAATTCAAACGCCAAAGGAAAATAAAAAAAAGATGGCATTGAGAACATCTCGTTCTTTGATGCATCAGAAAAAATACCAAAAACATACCTTCCTAACCCTGAATACAGACCTCACCCCAGTAATTCCCCCCCCCCCTAAGACAAAGAGAACCCCAACAATCAGATAACACCACTACAATACTATCCCCACCAACAAAGAAAAAAAAGAGGAAACAGTACCAATGACTCATCATTCCACTCATGCATAATTAGTCCAAATAACCGTAGTCCACCAATATCACCTATATTAACAATCCTATCAAAACCATCCTCCCCAAGAGTGGGCCACCCAAACACTCCAAGCTCTGATCAGCTATCCTCACCAAACTCTGATCAGCTATCCTCTCCAAACAATGATCAACCTAGATCACAAAATATTAATAACTTTTATGAATTTGAAAAAATATACAACTCTCAAAACACTCTTACACAACAATCAACTGTACATATCCAAAACTCACCACATAATACACAAGCCTAAAAATGGGAATTATAATCTTACAGTAGAACATCAGCAGTTTAAATTCCAACAAACACAATCTTATTAATCTTGTGAGGGACAATGAACCTGACATAATAATTCTTAATGAAACTTGGTTAAAACCCAATTTTAAGTTCTCATTTACAGGATTTCATACCATCAGATCAGATCGAACAGATGGGTATGGTGGAGTCGCAATACTCATTAAAAATAACATTAAACATACTCAAATTAACAAATTTAAATTTAACACGATAGAATTCAACAAATAACTATAAAAATCGATAATTTAAATATTATAGGTATATATTGTCCCCCACAAGAAAAAATACCAAAAAATGCTTTCTATAACCTCGTCAGTGAGTTAAATGGACAGTTGCTTATTGTGGGAGACTTAAACGCACACCACAACACTTGAGGCAGTGCTCAGTTTAACCATAATGGCAAAATTATATCGGAATTCATTTCAGACAAAAATCTAGTTGTGATCAACGACCATTGCAGTACCAGGTTGCAAAACCCAAATCAACTCAACAGCCCAATAGATCTATCCATTGTATCAGCTGAACTCCTCATGGATGAGAATCCCTGACTGTGGCTTTAGCGATCATTACCCCACATTTATCTCAATTTTTTTTAATAATTCCAAAATTATTCAAAACGAGACTATTGCAAGAAGGAAATTTAGAAAAACAGACTGGCACAGGTTCTCAAAAGAGTTAGAGTGCGAGATCTCATCTATACCTGAGGTGAGTAAAGATTTCAACATACTTTACCAAGCAATAAATATCACTGCTGAAAAACGAATACCTAGAACCAAAATAAATAAAAAAATCAAATTTGCACTCCTTGGTGGGACACTGAATGTCAAGAATGTTAAGAAAGAAAAAAAAAAGAAAATTATTCTGTTCATCCCTAAATCGAGACTCAAATATCAATAACATATAGAAAACAATAAGAAAATTCTCAAACAATCATAGTAATTTTAAAAGCCGCCTCCCAAGCAATGAAATTGCACCTAAAATCCTTGAAAAATTAAATAAAATAGATATTAACCCTAACCATCAATTAGTGACAAATGACATTCAGGCCCCACCAATCACAGTAGAAGAGATCAAATTCTCCATTAAATACAAAAAAGATTCAGCAACAGGGATGGATGAGATCTCGTACTCCATTTTAAATAACTTACCTAAAAAGTGGACCAGTGGAGGGATAACATGATAATAGCAATTTTAAAACCTAATAAACAATCTGAAACCAACAACTATAGATCTATAGTATTAGCATCATGTTTTCATTAGAAATAATCCTAAAAAATAGAATAGAATGGTTTATAGAAAACTCACAAACACTTTCCAAATTCCAAACTGGATCTCGAAAGGGTATGGGTATAACAGAAAACCTTGTATACCTAATATCCAACATACACCTTGCTTTTAGCAGAAATGAAACCATACTAGCCATCTTTATTGACATAAAGGCAGCATATGATAACTTAAACACCTCAATCATCTATAATTACTTATCAAAACTCAACATACCTCATAATTACTCAAACTTAATCTATAATATTCTATCTCACAGGAACTTGTTTATTAGGGATTGCGAAAACCATATGCATGGCCCTGCAGTGGTCGGGAATGGTCTGGCACAGGGATCCCCATTGAGCTCATTGCTATTTAATATTTATATCCAATCAATATTTAAGGTAATTCCTAAAAATACATGCCTACTGTCATATGCTGATGATTTGGTTCTCTTTACCAGGGGTAATAATATATCAAAAATGACAGAAACCATTAACAAAGCTCTAAATAATATAAATCTATGGTTTTCTAAACATAAACTCTCAATATCATCAGACAAAACTGAATTCATATGGTTCAGGAAAAGAAAAACAATCACCACCAACAATAAAAATAGGAAATAAGGAAATAAAACAGCAGACAAATATCAAGTATTTGGGAGTTACCTTCAACGAATTCCTTAATTGGAACAATCAGGTTACGGGAACGATTGCTAAAGCCAACCAAGGCATTAATGTGATGAGAGCAATAGCAAGGGTTTACTGGGGAGCAGACCCCAAAATATTGTTAATGGTATACAATGGTCTAGTAAGATCACAACTAGATTTCGGATCATTTTTATTAAGTCCCATGAAAAAAAAATTTAAAAAATAGACTTCATTCCACCCACAATAAAGCATTAAGGGTTATTACAGGCACTATGAAAAATACTCCAAACAACACCCTACTTGCAGAATGTGCAGAACCCCCATTATCTGAAAGAAGAAAATGGTTAACAACCAAATTCTTATCAAAAATAATTCAATTTAAATCTCACCCCTTAATTCCCATTAGGGCAATACTAAAACAAGACTGCTTAAAACCGAACACATATTGGAAATCAAAAGAATACCCCTACATCATCCAAGTAACACCACTACTTAATAAATACTTAAACAAAATTAGAAGAAGTGATCTCATGCCTTGCTTTGAAATCGAATATTGTTACCAGTTTGTCCAAATTAAAAATAAAAATCTAAACTTAAGAAAAAACTATATAAACAATAAAATAAATTTTTTAGCAGAACTCGAAAAATTTAAAACAAATAAGTACAACATCATTTATACAGATGCATAAAAAATTAAACAAAAAACGGGTATAGGAATCTATATGCCTGAGAACGATATTCGATTTTCGGCAAGACTCCCAGACCATCTCCAGATATGCACAGCAGAAATGGCCGCAATATGTAAGGGTGTAGAAATTGCAATCTCTAAAAATATAAAACGTAACCTAATTTTAACAGACTCTGCTAGTGCCCTTGAAAAATTAATAAACAATAAATACTCATCAAAAGACCAATATATATATATCGATTGCCACTACAAGGTTTATTACAATAGCCACATAAAACGATGTTGACTTTATATTAGCATGGGTACCAAGACACGACGAAATCCACGGAAATGTGGTTGCAGACCAACTCGCAAATATTGGGGTAAACCTTAATGTCCCTTTAAACTTTCAACCAGAGATGACAGAAATACTACCTGAATTAAAAAAAGAACTTTACCAAGCTTACAACAAGGAATGGTTAAAAACATTTCCCAGAACAGGGAGCTGGTATGGAAAGATAGTCGACAAACTTCCGAACAAACCGTGGTTCTATACCAACAAAATACAAATTCGAAGACACCTAACAGCTATCATACGCTTAAGAACAGGACATTGCCTTACAAACGCACACCTACGCAGAATAGGTATACTAACCCCTACTGCGAATGCGGACAAGTGGGTGACCTAACACACATTTTACTAGAATGCCCATTCAATGGCGACTGATTCTGAGAAACCTTAATAAAAAAACCATAAAAATACTATTAAAATTTATGGACTACCACAAAATATTATTATAAAATTTATTTATTTTTACAGATCCTTCCAATAACACTTCCTGGGTTCCTATACCGAGGTAGCATCTACTGGGTTGTCAAAGTCGCTTGGCCGCTGCCCCCAAGCGTGAAAAGTCTTACCTTTGTTTGTAACGTCTGTCCGTACTATCATCCTAGTAAACTTATTTTAGCAAAAAATACACCTGGAAATATAACCTAAAAAACAACAATTAGACCAAGGGATGAGACAACTCAGATACTCTTAATTGAGTCCCTTGATCTTGGTGGAAACCGAAAAATATAATGTGCTGGCCAAATAGCTTTTAAATTAAGCTAAAGGTCATTTCTCTGAACACAGAATTGTGATCAGAATTAAGAATAAGAAGAAGTTTTAATGAAAATATGAGATGTGTATGCTATGCAGAGTAATTTATAAATGCATTTTTCTCGAAAATAGTGCATCTGAGCGATTCAAATCAAGAGTACCTATATTTTGTAAAAAACTATAAATTTTTATAAATTTCAAAAAAAAATTTAAAATATTAACCTAGAAAAAAGTTTTTGTAATTCCCCCCCCCCCCCCAAATGAAATGCCTATGATTTAGTTTTAACAGTTTTGATCAAAGATCTAGATTCAGCATGTCAAAATTACCAAAGTACCGAAAATTCATTTCTTAGTTTTAAAAAAATTGTCCTCTTAGGATCCTATTCAAGGGGCTGTAGCTCTGTAAGGGGGCATTTAAAAATTTTTGAGACATGTTTATTAAACAAAAAAGTGTTTAAGTTTGGCCCCCTAATTTCGGGACACCCTGTATATATATATCGACGGGTTTAAGGCAAAACGGCACAAGCGCCAAAATTTTTAAAAATTTATTACAGTTCGATAGAGCTCTAGCTTTTTTATTATAACTTTAATAACTTCCTAGATATTTTTATAAAATTTGGCATTAAGCATTAACCGTAAGTTTTTGATGTAGAAAAAATTTTTTTTACCATTGGCGTCCGTACAGGATGTGGTCTAGATATTTTTGGAAAAATATTATGCACGCCACTGCTTTTTTTCAAAATAAAAATTATTTTTTAAATCCCCATTCATTTTAGGGCAAATTTGATTTCTTGACCATTTTTCGTACGACTAACGGTTTTCGATGAAATAAATAAAAAGCATTTAATGCGCATATTAAGAAAACAATGCCATGATTAAATAAACATTCAAATTAAATTTAATTAACGTAAACGTAAACAAAAACAAAAATAATTTAGATTAGCTGTTGACAGTGGCCACCACCTGCAAGTATGCATGCTTCAGCTTTTCTCCTCATTGAGTTTCGTACCCTTAGAAAAATTCCTGGAGTATTTCTGATAGTGTCACAACAAACTATTATGCGGTTTCTCAACTCCTCCTCACTATTTATTGGGGTGCTGTAAACCAACGCCTTTAGATGTCCCCATAGGAAAAAATCTAGACTGTTTAGGTCTGGCGATCTAGGTGGCCACGATTGTGTTCCTCCGCGCCCCATCCAGCGATTTCTATAATGTTGATTTAAAAATTCCCATGCCTGGAGACTAAAATGGGGAGGTGCACCATCATGCATAAAAAAAATAAATGCATTTTATTTTTTTCATCGAAAACCGTTAGTCGTACGAAAAATGGTCAAGAAATCAAATTTGCCCTAAAATGAATGGGGATCAATCGCCTGTGTCCACTGTAGAGTGCAGTTGTGCTTCTCAGTTCTCCGCGATTTGAATTAAATAATTGGTTTAAACTTTGAATTAAATTATGAGTGATGTTGATGCTGAATATTTTGGTGGTGAAATGGATTGGGAAATGGAAAATAAACAGAAAAAACGGAAGTGCAAAGGGTCGAAAAAAACATTAAGCGAATCAGAAAAGGACAAAATTCGAGAAATTATCGGTAGCGAAGCATCCAAGGTCAAAACAAAAACGCTTAAAGAAACGATTTTAGAAAAAAACGAAGTACACAACATAATTCCTCATACAGGGTGTCTCTCTAGCGATATAACAAATTTACAACACACCAATAATTCAACAATTTCCAAAAACACATCAAACACGCACGATTTTTCATCTAAAATAAACAACTATTCTCTAAAAATGAATAAAATCACCAACAGACCCTATACTACAACAATATTAGTCACAACAAGTGAAGATCTCTCAAGAATCCAGTTTCACAAATATCTGGACCTCACTAGGAGAATCAAAAAACGATGTACTTATCAAAACTAAAAAAGGTTTTATCTTAAAATCAGACAGATCCAAATTAATATTAAAAGCTGCGTTACAAAAATTAATGAACAAAAATATTGTAAAGAGTTTTGAAGATACATTCGCGCCTAACAAACGATACAACGAACCCAGAAGTAACCTCACCTATGCTGCAGTAATTGCGTCAGTTGAGTATGAAATAAAAGATGAAGAAATGAGTGATTTTCTAAAAGAATCCGCAATAATCTTCAGATACTGTAAAAGAATAACTTCAAAAGCAACAGGTAAACTTACCACTTTAATAAGATTAATCACAGGGTGTATTAAATCATACGAAAAACTTCTTAATGAAGGGATTTTCTATAAAAATAGACATTTTACTGTATATACAAGCCTGCCCCCACCTCCTCTTCCTATTCCATACAACAACTGCTCCCAATTTACACACACAACTGATAAATGCAATTCAAAACCTGTTTGTACAAAATGTCAAGGAGACCATAACTCAAACTCCTGTAAAACAACTCTCCCTCCAAAATGCGTCTCTTGTAACTCAACTGATCACACAGCTTGGTCTATGACATGTCCAAAGA